CATTTTTAAATAAGTAATTCAACTAATGTTAAAATAGACTAATAAATTAAAATATTAATTAGACTAGATGCTTATTTGCATTGACTTATTTAATTTTACCTAATGACATATTTTATGATACTATTTGGTTGAGAGAACTTATGAAAAGAACTTATGACATTGCTCGTAAGGTTATTTTCAACGTATTTTCATAAGCCCTTCTAGACATATGTGTTAGTGCGTGAGACACTTTTAGTGAGGAGAGAAAGAGAGAATAATAAAGGAAATAAGGATTTGTACTATTGACTTGTACAAATAATGATACACACTATGACTATTTATATACAACCCTAATTGGGCTTGGGCTAACACAACTGGATTATATTAAATATTAAATCTAATCAAATATAATCTAATCTAATTTAATATTTCAACACACCCCCATAATCCAAGTTGTCGAACATCCTCAAAAATAGTCAATCTGAACTATTCCTAATTTCTTTCTCAAATTCAGGAATCTGTCGATCTTCAATCCTTTGGTGAAAATGTCGGTCAACTGTGCTTCACTTGAGTAATGCCTAACTTCAAGTTCATCTTGATTTACCTTTTCCCTCAAGAAGTAAAACCTTGCTTCAATATATTTACTTCTTCCATGCAGAACTAGATTCTTCGCCAGATTTATGGCTGACTTGTTGTCAATTTGCAATACTAGAAGTTTCTTCACTTCGACAGTCATTTCTTCAAGTACAGATCTGATCCAAATTGCTTGACATGTAGCATAGGATCCTGTTATATATTCATCTTCGCACGATGACAATGCCACCACAGGTTGCTTCTTCGAACACCATGAGATTAGGGTACCAAATACTTGAAAGAAATATCCAGTTGTGCTTCTTCGATCTTCCTTATCTCTACACCAATCAGCATCTGAAAAATAATTAACTATTTCTTCTTTGCCTTCAGAATCTTGTCGAAATAGTATTCCATAATTTATTGAACCCTTCAAATATTGAAGGATTCTTCTTGCAGCCTTCATATGTGACACTCTTGGTTCACCCATATATCTGCTTACTAATCCGACTACGAAACCTATATCAGGTCGACTGTTGCACGAATACCTCAGAGATCCTACAATTTGCTTGAACAAAGTTGCATCGACTTTGTATTCCTCTCCATTCTTCTCCAACTTCACATTTGGTTCGACAGGTGAGGATGCAGGATTCGAATCATCCATTCTGAATCTCTTGAGTATCTCTTTGACATACTTTCTTTGATGTAACACCATACCTTGCTTCGACATTTGAAATTTCATGCCTAGAAAATAACACAATTTTCCTAGATCCGACATTTCAAATTCCTTCGTCATCAACTCTTCGAACTTCGACAAGTTCTCCAAACTATTTCCAGTTACTAGAAAGTCATCAACATACAAGCAGGTGATTGTTATATCTTATGCTACAACCTGAACATAGACACCATACTCTGATTTGCATTTGACAAATCCTAATTCGACTAAGTATGAGTCGATCTTCTTGTTCCATGCCCTAGGTGCCTGCTTGAGGCCATAGAGCGCTTTATGCAATCTATATGTTTTACTCGCTTCCTTATGAATCACAAACCCAGGAGGTTGTGTGACATGAACTTCTTCATCTAAAGGACCATTCAGAAATGTTAATTTCACATCTAAATGAAATGTTGACCAGCCTTGGTTGCATGCCAATGCTACTACTAGTCGAACAGTCTCTAATCTTACTACTGGAGCAAATACTTCAGAGTAGTCAAGTCCTGCTCTTTGAATAAAACCTTGAGCTACTAATCTTGCTTTATCTCTTGCTATTGACCCATGTGCATTGTGTTTCAACTTGAACACCCACTTTACTTCGATAGCTTTTGTATGTGCTGGAAATTCGACTAAATCCCATGTGTTGTTTCTTTCGATTTCCTGTAAATCTTCGACCATAGCTGACTTCCACTTGTTAATCTTCAAAGCTTTGCTATAGTTGATTGGTTCAGCACCTGCAAGTAAAGCAAAATGAACTAATTCTCCATCTGGCGTAATTTCATCATCACCCACCACTTCAAAATCATGAAGTCTTGTTGGAAGAACTCTATTTCTTTGAGGTCTTTGGCTTGTTTCATCCACAGCCTCATCGACTTTGACTGTGATGGGAGTGTCAGCAATCGCCTCTTCTTTGACTTCGACTGGATTCTCAACAATTCCTTCGACCTCTACTTCATTAGTTTCTTCCCATTTATTGAGTGCAGTTGGTAGACTTCAACTCATTAACTCTGTTATTTTTGCTATGACTAATTATTGGTTTACTTGTTTCCCCATGCCTAAAGTGGTGCTACAAAAGATTAATGCTATTTGCAGATCTTTTTTCTGGGCTGGTACTGACAGGGTAAGTAGGAAAATTCCAGTAACATGGAAACAGGTTTGTAGTGCCAAGAAAACTGGTGGTCTTGGTTTAATTGACTTGTTTATCTGGAACGAAGTAGCTATGTTTAAATTGCTTTGGAATCTTTGTGCTAAAAAATATAATATGTGGGTTATGTGGATACACTCCTATTATATGAAGAATGTTGATATAATGGAGTGTAAGCTTAAAGACAATGGCACTTGGATTATGAAACAGGTTATGGCGAAAAGAGATCAGATTCACGATATTCAGGCCCTATGGGACGTTATGTTATGCGCTGGAAAATTTTCTATGAAATCTGTTTATTCCCAGCCGAGAAGAAATGAGTCGGTGGTCAGTTGGAAGTCTCTCATCTGCAAAAACCCTGCTAGGCCTAGAGCTGTTATTACACTATGGATGGCCTGTCATCGCAAGCTTGCTACAAAGGATAGGCTTGTTAGGTTCGGGTTTATTTCAGATTCTATGTGTTGTTTTTGTTCTAGTGTTGAAGATATTAATCATATATTGTTTGATTGTATTGGGTTGAGACAATTTTGGATTGATGTTCTTAAATGGATTAATGTTAGTCATATCCCCAAGTCTTGGAATGAGGAATTACCGTGAATTATTGAGAAAAATAAGGGCAAAAGTTGGAGGAGCACTCTGTTTGAGCTTGCTATCACGGAGACGATCTATGGTATTTGGATTTACCAAAATAAAGCTTGCTTTGGGGAGAAAGTAGAATACTTGAAAGCCTTGAGACACATTATGGATGCTATCATCTATAGAGGATGACATAGTAGAATTTTCAAAAAATATATTGCTTATCTAATGATGTAATAGGGTAACATATGCTCTTCTTGATTTTGTGGGTTTGATCTTTTTGTGATCACCTTGTATTTGTGGCTTATTATTAAAGTTCTGACATGTTCCAAAAAAATGTAATGTTTAAATTCAAAAGTTGATCAATACATTTATAAATTAGTGTCAGAATATGGTTAATAGTTTGGTTAATATGGTTAATAACTTGTATTTTATGGTTAATGAAATAGTGAAATTAGTTAATAATTTATAAGTAAAATAATTGATTAATAACTGATATTTTTGTGATTAATATATTTGTGAAGTTGATTAATGATAAAAATTTATATTTGTGTTATAAATTAATTTAAAAAATATATTTTAAAAAAAAGAGTTATTACTATTTTCTCTCATGCCGTCATATAAATCACTTTTGATTTATTTTGTGTAATTTGTTTTTTGTAAAAATAACATTTCCATTAAAAGATTACATCATTTTAAATATTGAGATCAAATGACACATGTCCACATCAGATGTGGCATATTAGATAGTTTTTTTTGTTTTTTTATATAAAATTTAAATATGCTAACATGATTTTATTATATATATTTTGAATTATTTTTATTTTCACGTATTATTTTATTTTTCATTTATTTTAATCTTAAATTTTATTAAATTATTAAAAATATAATTTTTTTTAAAAAAACCCAACAAATCTTTTGCCAGAAGCTGCGATCGAAACCAGATTATTAGGAATATGGAACGCCTTACTCTTTCATTAGTTAACATTACCAACTATATATATATTAACATCTTGTTGTATCGTTTGACATATTAAAAATACAGTAATATATGATATTATCAATATTAAATTATAAGTATTATTTGGTAATTAATCAATTATTTATTTATGAAATAATTTTGCCTAAAGATATCTAATAATCCTAAATACTTTAATATTATATTTAAAATAATTAATAATATCATATTATTCAAGGAATATTATAGTTTTGATTAATAGTATAATATAAGTATTATTTGGTATTTAATTTTAATAACATTAAAAAAACCCTGCATTTAAATTCAAATAATTTATTAAATAATTTTTATTTATTTTAATCTAATAATATTAAAATTCAAAATACTTAAAGTCCTAAAAAAATTGCCTCACATGAGACTTGAATCCATACCTCAAAATACTTAACAACTAACTAACATTAATATATAACCTATAACATATATTTAAAAATAAACTAAAATTAACTTTTAACATATTATAACAAATTGGAATTAATTTGTAACATATAAATTAAAATTAGTTTTTGATATATTATAATAAACTAAAATTATTTTTTAATATTTTGTAATAAATTGAAATTAATTTTAAACATATTATATATATTTAAATAAATAATCTAAAATTAAGTTTTACTATATAATAATAAACTGTAATTTGTTTATAAATTTAGTATATATTTGAATAAATAAATTTAAATTAATTTTTGATATATCATAATAAAAAAAATTAATTTTTACTATATAATAATAACCTGATATATATTAATATGTAAAAAAATAATCTAAGCACATTATAGTATTATTAATATGTCAAAAAAATAAGTTAGCAAAATCCTTGGTTACAGGGAGTAAACTACTGGTGCTTACATGCACTAAATAACAAAGCTTCATTTAAAACAACTAAAACTCTAGGTGGTAGTGTTTACATGCACTAGATACAAGCTATGTTATTTAAGCTTCATTCAAAACAACTAAAACTCTAGGTGGTGATGATTTCCAATCTTACTTTGGAACGTTTTGACTTAATGGGTTTCTTTAAAGATGTGAACTTGAAAGGTCATATTAGTACTATGAATGAGCTCAAATTTGCAAACATCACCGACTTTCAAGTTATTGTCTTCTACAAAGTCCCTCCATTTCCTTGAGAGTTCAAATTTTGTTTGTGTAGTGCCCAATCTCTTCTTGATTGAGTACTTTGCAGACCAAACTCTGTCATTATCCAACACCTGAAAATAAATATCTCCCTTCTTCTTATCCAAATCAAAGTGTCTCCTACCAAATTCAGAAGGTATATTCTGCCAAGCAAAATAGAAGACAAATGTTGATGAATTATGAATATAAACTTAACTAATTTCTCTTATTATTTGTAAATGTTTTCTCTCTCACCAAAGCAAAATGGTGTTCAACGTATGAAGCATACATGACAACAACAAAAGATGGATTACGTGTTATGAATGATTCTGCTCTTTCATGAGCTGCATTCACATGTTTTCCTGCAAAACCATATTTCATGTTGATATAAATGACTTAACAATATGAATACAAAAGACAATAACTTATACCTTTGTGTTTTTTAACACAACTAGTGCTTCCAATTTCAAAGGAGGAGTAAGCTTTTCTCTTTTGACTTGCTCCACAATCTTCTTCATTATTGACTTCAACTCTTTTGAAAGGATACTTTATCTCTAAACCACTATTATCAAAGATTCTTACCTCAAAATAGCAAGTTTTTCCATATTTGAAAAGTAGAAGATGGCCATGAGATAGAGAATGATAGTCTGCAAATTCTTTCCAACCCTTTTCAAACCATATCTTGCCATCACTTCTTACCAAACTTAATTCCCAATCTTCACCATTGGGAGTCTTTAAACATATAGCTTTTGGTAAAGATTCTCCATATTTCTTCACAAACTTTATTGGTATCATCTGTCAATTTATTACACCAGATTAATATGCATGCATGATAGAGCTCATAAAACTATCAAGTTGCCAAATAGAAAGTAACACAATAAGATGATGTGATAAAATAAAGAACATAAACTATTCTTGAAGTAAGAATGTAAGACTTACTAGCTTTTCTTGGTGAAGAATTTCAGTAACTATGATCTTGAAAAAATGAATTGGTTTTATCAACTCAGATAATTCAATAGCCATCACTAAAACCTTACGAATGAGTGAGAATTGCCTCCAATAAAGTTTAGATGACAATCACATGCAAGACACATCTATTTATAAAAACAACAATGCTATTACTACACCTTCCTTTATACCTATATCTTATTTACTGTTAACAAATTTGGTAAACAGCGATATGAATAGTAAATAGTAATATGAATAGTAACATAAATAGTATTGTGCACAGTGATCATGAATAGTCATATGATTGTAAATAGTATTTGTGAAAAGTGAGTTTTAATAATAAAATAAAAATTGATTAATAAAATATAAAAAATTAGTTAATAAAATAATTAAGTTGATTAATAAACACTCAGATATTAAAAATAATTTTTTAATAATAAAATGAAATTGGTTAATAAAATATAAAAAGTCGGTTAATGAAATCATGAAATTGACTAATAAACGTTTAAATAATAAAAATATTTTAAATAATAAAATATAGAAAATTAATTAATGAAATGATGAAATTGATTAATAAACGTTCAGATATTAAAAATAATTTTTAATAATAAAACAAATTTAATTAATAAGATCTAAAATATTAATTAATAAAATTTTGATGTTGATTAATCACACAATTTTGTATCGATAATCGTTAATCTAAATATACAAAAGTTAAAAAATTTTAAAAAGATAATATTTTATATATTTGTTAAATTATTTTATTATTACAATATTTCATTATTCATCATATTGATAAACGGTGAAATCTGGTGTAGTATATAAATATTATTTCTCAAATAAATTATTGTTTAAAGAAGCTATTTTATTACTTTTCATTGTTTAAATTATAAGTAATTTAGACCTATAAGTAATTATTTTATTATTACAATATTTCATTATTCATCATATTGATAAACGGTGAAATCTGGTGTAGTATATAAATATTATTTCTCAAATAAATTATTGTTTAAAGAAGCTATTTTATTACTTTTCATTGTTTAAATTATAAGTAATTTCTTTATATATATAAGTAATTTAGACCTATATGATTCAAATATGAGATTTTGAGAAGAATATTCTCAAAGACTTATACCTTCACCATTAGACATGATATACTAATAAATAATTTAAATTGCATAAAAAAAATAAGTAACTTGAATTATTTTAAAAATCTTTCTTACTTAAAATGAGAAGCATAAAGCTTCAACTTAAAAAAGACTTGTAGAAAATAATTTTGCTAAAAAAAACTTGTAAAATATTGGTTTGATTGAAAATATTTAAAAATGATCAAACCATTTTTTAAGTTAAGTTTGTTTAATTAAATTGTTTAAAATTTGTAGTTCATTTCATAAAAATTTTATCTAATTTTAATTTTGTAAAAATGCAGTACGATTAAGTTTATTAAGTTATATTGTTTAGCCAATTATATATTTTGCACAATTTTAAATAACATCAAATTATATGGATATGATTTTTAACGGATTAAAAAAAATCTATTAATAAAAGTATGTGTGTTATTTTAAGCAAAAACTCATGATTACATTTACTGCAAATAGATCTGTTTTAAATCATTTTCCTATCTAACCATCCATATCTGAGGCTTTTTGGAACTAACAGTAGAAAATCACATCAAAATTGTATAAATGATTTAAGTTCAAACGCAAACTTTTTGGGACAAATTTAAAGCAACACAAATCAATCGTCTTAATGATTGTAGTTTAAATTAAATTCTAAACCCTAAAATATATATTCTCTCATTCCTTAATAATAAAACTCATTTTTCATATTATAATTAATTATTATTATAACATTTTATTACAAATTTTTATATATTTTTTAAATAATATATCAATTAAAATTATAATTATAAAATACAGATACACTTCTTTTCTTATTATATCATTAATTATAAAAGTAATTGTATAAGATTTACTCTCGTTTTACAAATTTATTTAATTAAGAACTATAATTTAAAACTAGAAAAATCATCTTAATATATACTAATTGGATTTTAAATTATATTCATCCCTTAATTTTCTTTTAAGTGTTTTTTTTTTAATTCTTGCATAATTTTAAAATAATAATTAATTATGTTAATTTTAATAATAAAATAAAATTTATTTTATTAAAGTATAACTATTAATAATTAGTATAATAGAAGAATTAAAATAAAAATAAATATGTTATATCAATGAGAAAAAAAATAAATGCAACTTTAAGATTTAAAGAAGAAAAAAATTGAGCATGGAAATAATACAAAAGAAACTTTTAATGAGAGGAAGGGTATAATTTCTTTATTTTTGAAAAAAATTGTTTTAAATAATAAATTATTTTATATTATCCATTAAATATATTTATTATCAACTCCGTTAGAGGTGGCCCTGTGAACACTTTGTGGAGAAAACTTAAAAGACTCCACCCAACCTTGAGAAAGCTTAGTATGCCCCTATTTAGTATTAGAGATAAGTGGGAGAAAGCTAGGGATGATCTTAACGAAGCTTAGCCTGATCTTTCCTTAGATAGAATGAATAGAAGCAGGATTGATAACATTAAAAATTGTCCAGAAGAGGTCTTAAAATAGACTGAAATGAAAGAGAAGATCTTGCAACAGAGAGCTAAAATCAGTTGGACAAGGCTTGAAGATGGCAACAATGCCTACTTCCATGCTTCCTTAAAGGCTAAGCATCATCAAACTTCCATCAAAAGTATGTGCAAGAATGATGGGACTGAAATTCATAATCAAGAGAACTTTGAGGGAGAGGTTATGGATTTTTATGGATCCCTTATGGGTAAGGCCGATACTACTCTTGAAGGGATTGATATCATTGTTATGAGAAGTGGAGCTCAATTAAATTATGATCAAAGGAAGTATCTTGTTGAAAGGGTAATTGGTGATGAAATTGTGGCAGCCCTCAAAACTACAGGGGACCTTAAAGCTCCAGGATTGGATGGATATGAAGCGAAGTTCTTTAAAGATGTTTAGAGTATTATAAAGGATGTTTTCTTATCAGCTGTCAGATTTATTTGACAAAAGGAAGTTGTACATGCCTATAAATACCACTCTGGTGGTATTAATCCAAAAAAATAATGAGGCTAAAACTGTGAGGGACTATAAGCCCATATCATGATGTACTACTATATAGAAAGTAATATCTAAAGTGCTAAATACTAGGCTGAGCAAGGCTCTTAACAACATAATCCACAAAAGTCAAGCAACTTTTGTTCCAGTGTAGAAAATTCATGATCACATAATGTTAGCATATGAGTTGATCCAAGGGTATACTCCCTCTGTAACAAATTATAAGCAAAATTGACTTTTTTTGGTACATTTGACAATTAATGTATGTAGTCCATATATGGACTACATATATTAATTGTCAAATGTGCCAAAAAAAAGTCAATTTTGCTTATAATTCGTTACAGAGGGAGTACTAGGAAGGGTGATACTCCCATGTGCATACTCCAAATGGACATTCATAAAGCATATGACACAGTTGATTAGAAAGCTCTAGAGCAAAATTTGAAAGAGATTGGAATTCCTTGGCAATTCACCAAGTAGATTATGCTAATTGTAACTACAATGCCATACAGTTTTGCCATAAAATGGAGAACACACGAGGAATATGGAAACTAAGAGAGGTCTGAGGCAAGGAGATCCATTGTCCCCTATTATTTGTCATCATAATGGAATATCTGCGCAAAACCTTACATAACTTGAAGAACATCCTTGATTTCAATTTCCACTCCAAGTGTGAAAAGCTAAACATCATAAACCTCAGTTTAGCTAATGGTTTACTATTGTTTTCTAAGGGAGATAAGAAATATGTTGAGTTGCACATGAATGCCTTTAATAAATTATCCAAGTCAATTGGTCTTGTTGTGAACCCCTATAAATGTAGAATCTACTTTAGAGCTGTTGAGGAGCACACAAAATAAGACATTAAGAGGATCCCTTATTTTCAAGAAGAAGCATTTCACTTCAAATACTTAGGGGTTCTTCTCGCTGATAAGACACTGTCAATCAACCATTACATGAGTTTGATTGATAGAATTCTAGCTAGAATAACACATTGGAGTGTAAAGCTTATATGTTATGCAAGCATTTTCCAATTGATTAGGAGTGTCAATAATGCCATAACCAATTATTGGATGCATCATTTTCCCTTCCCTAAGAAAGTCATTCAAAAATTAATGTTGTTTGTAGAACTTTTCTCTAGATTGATGGTGATGTTATTTCTAGGAAATCTCCCATCTCTTTGAAGAAACTTTGTGCTCCCAAAAACCAAGGAGGTTTAAATATGATCTCCCTTGAATATTGGAATGTAGTCACCATGTTGAAGCTTCTGTGGAATCTCAGTGGAAAGGTGGATAGACTTTGGATAAAATAGATTAATTGTACTATTTGAAAAAATACAACATAATGGAAGTGTGAATCAAAGACTCCTGCTCATAGATTCTCAAAGACATTTTAAAACAAAGAGAGAAGTTGCATCTGTTACCTGGCTGGAACCAAATGATTCTTAGTGACAAGTTTGTGGCAAAAAAGGTGTATCTGGACCAGCAGGAAAGTACTATTAAGGTGCAACGAAGGAAGCTTTTCTACAATAACATGGCAAGACCCCGTGCTCAGTTTATTCTTTGGATAGTCTGCCATGGGAGACTACAACAAAATCCATATTGCACAAGTTTGGGATAATTTGAGATGATAAATGCAACTTTTGTATGCAGCCGGAAACTATCAACCACCTCCTCTTTAAATGTAATGAGATGAAATATATGTGGGAAAGGGTCATATCTTGGCTGCAAGTGAAACACAAACCCTAACAATGGCATGAGGAACTAAATTAGATAATTACTCACTACAAAGGTAAGGGATGAAGAGCTTGTATTCTCAAAGCTACTATTACCAAAACTATGTATGAAGTATGGAAATATAGGAGTGAGGTTAGTTATGGAAGCAAAGTGAATAATACACGCATAAGAAAAAAGATAATTGATACTATAGTTTATAGAGGTTAGACTCATTCGAGAAT